AATTTAAAAATATGGGTTGATTGCTAAGAAAATCAGATTTCAGGAATTTTTTAGAAAATTGAGATTTTTATTGCATTTTAATTTTTGATGTTATTAGATTAAAATGTATTAAGCTCTTAATTTTAGTCAAAAATTTCTCAAAACCTGATTTTCCTAAAACACTCTCATATATTAATATCAATTAATATACTAATTTATAAATAACATTTTTATTACTATTCATAAAGAATCTAAAAATCATAAATTAGTAAATTTATAAAATAATTTAATCAAAAATTTCTTATAATACTTAATGATTTATTTAATATTCTATTTATATATTTAAATAAAAGATATAAGATATATATAATAAATTATAATCTATTAAGTAATATTAAATGAAGAGATTTTAGTATAATTTATTACAACTGTAATTATCTTTAATTAATTTTATTATCTTAATTAATTTTTAATAAGTTTTATATAATAGATCAGATTTTATAATCAGATTTATTAAAATTATACAAATTCTTTTAAAATATGTAAAATCTTTTTATTACATAAGAAGATATTTATAAAGTAAAATAGGAGGTTTGCTATTAAAATCAAGTTATAAACATAGTAAATTATATGATTCATAATGTGATTTTAATAGTTTACCTCTAAAATAGTGATATATCAATATATAGTAAAAAATTTATTATTAATTAGCTATTAAATTAGACAAGTAATATATTAAATTGATTATAATAAATTTTATAGATTAAAATATAGCAAATATAATAATTTAGATTATCTTAAACTACTTTATTTTACAAATAATTTTATGAAATATCTGAATTGCAATATCTCTATTTTAAAGTATTTTAATAATATTTAATTAAATTTCGCATAAAAACAAATTATTAAAATTATTTATTTTAATAAAATTATATTAATAATTTTTATAATTTGTTTTCTTTTTATATTTATAATATAATATTAAGACTAAAATATAATTACATATTTTTTAGCAACTAATATATCATATAAAATAAGAATTAAAATACATAAATATCTTTTTCTTTAAAATATTCATATATTTTATCTATTATTAATATATTTTAAAATAATTCTAATTTATTAATAATTAATGTTAAATAATGATTTATTTTATGAAAATTAACTTCACTTGATTTGGATAAATAATTAAGAATCAGTAATTTTTTACATTTAAATTAGATATTATACAAAAATTACATATAGCAATATATATTACTCTATTACTATAAATAATTTCACTATATAATTAAAACTAATTAAAAATTAATATTAATTTAATAAAAAAATTAGTGATTTCATCTTAAAAAAAATATTATCAAATCTTTTTTAGAAGTTCTATATATTATATTTAACTATTATATATATTAATCATAATATTATTAAAATACTAATGATTTATTTATTATCTCTAGCTAGTTTTAAATAAGGATAACAATACAAAAAATAAATTAATTAGAAATTTACTTAATTTAAGAAAACTTAAATCCTAAATTAGATATTTAAAAATATTTAAATTTTAAAAATTCTTATTTATTTTAATAAGTAATTTGAATTAAAAAATATTTTTTAAAATTAATTAATAGAATCAATTAGAATCAATTAGAAGTTTTTAACTAATTTATTATATTTGTATTTTGGTCTTAATAATAATTTTGTTTTTTAGTTTATAATATATATAGTTAATAAATTAAAAATTATTATCTATTATTATTTTCATAAAAAATTTATCTTAAAAGATGTTTTCAAATAATATAATTATAAAAACAAATAAAAATAAATAGGTTACTAAAAATGAATAATTTTGTAAATATAAAATATTTGGTTATCTTTTTTAATGCTAATGCTAATATTATTTATTAATACTATTTTTTATTATATTAATTATTTTACTAAATTTCAGTTTTAAATTTAACTAAATTTTAATAATTTCATTATAAGTTCTATCATATAACTTATTTTTTTTAAAATTAGTTTAATTAAATTTTAGCATTTTGAGTAGCATAATTATCTAATTCACTTCTTATTTCATGATTATTTGAAAAATTTATTATAAAAAAAAATAATTAATATAACATTAAATCTAGTAGATAAACTTTAAATTACAATTTTTTAATATATTAATGAATAAAACTTTAAATTAAATATAAGTATTATTTTTTTTTTATTTTTAATATATTTATTTACTTTAAAAATTCAAATAAATTATTTAGTATATATATATTTAACATATATCAAAAAGTCCTTATAGAACTTAAAAAAAAGTTTTAAACCTTAAGTAAAAAAATACATTAATAGTAATAGTCTGACTAAGTTATTAAAGATACAAATCATTTTTATCATAACTAGAAGTCAGTTACAAATGAAGGTTTTAATAACTTCTTGAAAATTTAAATCAAGATCAAAAATTAAAATAAAGAATTTTATGAAAGTATTGAGTAGCTATCAGTTTACTATTAAATTCTTAAAATGATATTTTTTATTAAAAAAATAAGTGTAGATTATAATAGTTCTAAATAGATTGATGATAACAAAGTTTGATCATACAAAGAAGAAGTCTGAAATTTCATAACAAGTTGCAAAATAACAATAAAATCAATTGATAAATCATGAAGAAAAGATTTTAATATAAAATATAAAGATAAAAGATTGAGATAGATTTTATAAGCATAATAGAGAATATTAGATGAATAATCAAAATCTAAGAAGAAAAGAAAAAGGATTACTAAAGGCAAGGAAATATTTGTTATATCATGTCAAAAGAGTAATACAAAAAAAATTGAATAAATTTGTTTTACTAATATTTGTTTAAAATAGAAAAAGGATTATAAGCAAAGGAGCTCTTTCAATAATAATTTATTTCTTAATCAGTTTAGACTGATCTCTTTATTTTTTGATGATTCAAAACAAATTACAATTTATAATGAATAAAAAAAAAAACTTTGCAATAAAGAAGTTAAAGATAGTATTAGGCTAAAAAAAAGGAATAGATAAACATGTATTATATATTTACAATAAATCAAGTTATATAGAAATCAAAATGTTAATATATTTAATCTAATTATATAGGTTGATTACTAAGAAAATCAGATTCTAAGAATTTTTTAACAAAATTGAGATTTTTATTGCATTTTAGTTTTTGATGTTATTAGATTAAAATGCATTAAATTCTAAATTTTAGTCAAAAATTTCTCAGAACCTGATTTTTTTAGAAATCTTCCCATATTTTTATTTATTTATATTGTGTATACAGGTTAAAGGAAAAAAATAACAAAGAGAATCTCTTCTCCCTCTAACCGTATACACTAATAGTTTTGTCAATTAAATTATATAACTGATAAACCAGAAAAGCAGGAACAATGATTTATTGTGATCACAGAATTTCACAGAAAATCACAAAATATGATTCAAGTTTTTGGCCTAATTTAGGGTTTGCAATCATTGTAATTCCGGTAAACACTAAATTTGGCCAGAATTTACGAGTCGTAATGTTGGCCAACCTTGCGTAATTCCGTCCAAATCACAAAATTTCACAGAATTTACTTTTATCACACATAAAACTTACTTTATATCACCATAAAAAATCATCGTCCCTGTGGAGAAGCTATTAATCATATGATGGTTTACACGTCGATGTTACAATGGCGAAAATAGACTATAATTCAAAACTACCAGAAGGTGCTCCGGAATAGAAATCTCTCGATCATACAATTCAGATGATAATGAGAAAGAATAATTGAAAATAAAAATTTTTTTCGTACTTTAGTTTCATATCATGTCTGTATGTATTCATAAATATAGTTTTATTGCGTTGTAATTTTCATTGTGGTATACTGTAAATAAAATAATTTATTAGTTTACTGAATATAATTATTTTCGAATTTAAAGATATCATATTATTATAGAAATCTGATTTAAGTATTTGAGTGTCCAATTGTACTCAGACACGCAATAAGATCCGTGTTCTATCAGTTACAATTTATAGTAAAATCAGTGAAGAATCGGGATTATCATTTGACCTATGAAATTTAATGAGAATTAGAAAAATGAAAGTGAACGGGCAATTTTAAAACTATGATCCCGAGAATAATAGAATTCAGTTCAGACCACTTTATCATGATTGGTAATAATACTTGCATAACATAATCTTTGTTTACAAAACTGAGTCAACCATTCTAAGATTTGATAATTTATCTAAAAGTTTTTTTTTAATTAGACCAGGTACTAGTTAAGGGTATGTACGGGTATGAACAATGGTTTCATTCAAATTCACGAACTGTAAATTTTCTTTTTAATTTTTTAATTTATGATCTTATGATTGAAATAAATAGATACGCGTAAAAAAAATAATAAGTTCAGATTTAACATTAATTTTTTTTTAGTGTTTCATTCCTTTCTAATGCAAAACATCTATTTGACTTTAAAATTATTAATGTAATTAAAATTAACATTACTCTACCAAAAAAGAAGTAAAAATACAAAAATCATGCACAGAATTTTATATTTAAATTAATAAAAAAAAAAAACCTGTTAGAAGAAACACAGCTTATCGTTTAAAATACAAAAACTTTATAGACATATTTTCTTCATGTTTTAATTTTATCTTTCATCGTTTATAACATCATTTCATTCATAAATTAATAATATATTCACGTAAAATGAGATTTTATATCTTCAGTAGAATAACAATAATATTCTTCTTAACAGATGATTTTAATTAATAAATATTGGACAATTATGAAATTATTAAAGTAAACTTATTTTTACTGGCAGTTTCCTCAAATAGTCAATCGAGAAGTAAAGATTATAATTTATAATATTCTGTTGTACTGAACAGAACACATAACGGTTCGCGCTTTTGATCTATAATGATCTTACTCTGTGATTTTACGTACAAGATTCTTTAAATAAAAAATAAATACCAATCAAATCTCGCTTAATTTAAGGCAGTATTTTCAGTGTTGAATCATTAAAATGTGGTTTTAAACGACCAATGAAATTCCAAATTTTAAACAAGTAAATAATTTAACAATATGTAATTCTGTTAATTGATCATTATTTGTAATTTCCAGACCTTTCTCGTTTGCTAAATGCAATAAGCTAACAAAACATAACGGTACCGAAATATCTTTCATCTTTCTTTGAGGACATATTTTCTTTAGATCACAAATAACTCCCGAAAATGTCGTATTGTCGGCTAACGTTTTCCACATATTTTCCTTCAATTTCTTAACATCGATTCTTTTTGCTGTCTTGGCGTATTTGATAAACTCGGGTCTATTTCTCTTTGTCTGAGTTACCAAATTATCACCAAATTCGCCCTCTAATTCGTCCTCCTCACCATAATCGTCGTAAAAAGAATCTCCAGCAGTGTAGATAGCTAATTATCAATTTAAAAAAGTTAAAGATCTATTTATCATTATTATTAAAAATTTATAGTTAGGGACTTACTCATGTCTGGTAAAGCTGCTGAATAAATAATAATGCTTATTAATTCCTAACAAATAATTTTTATAATTTTTATAAAAACGACTTGAAAGTACCTACCATCATCGGACTCGGGCTCAGGCTGTGCTTCATATTGGCGTTTCGAGTTAAGCTACGAAAAAAACATATATATAATACAATCAAACGTGTATATTACGTTCTAAAATAATGAAAGAAAATTTAAAAGATAAATAATTACCATAAATTGAGGTTTTAAGAATAATTGAAGAAATTGCTTAGACGAAAAATGCATATCATCGGGAAGTAGGTGACCATGTGGTACTTCTTAAGCTAACTTGGGCGCATTTATCGTACTTCTCCCAGATGCAAAAATGATTCGCTCATCAATATCCTCTGATTCAATAAAATTTATAGAATCCGGTTCTTTTTTCTTCCTATCCCTTGTCTCCCCAATTTCTGTTGATCCTTTATCCATTTAAGGAATTAAATTAATTAAAATTTTAAACAAAACAGATATTTAATTACTTTATTAGCTCTTTTTAACTTCCAATGTTCAAGGCCTGCCCAGTTACGTAAAAACGCAGAATCAAATAAGAAAACAATTCGTTTTTATTATTGACCATAGCCATGACAAAATCCTTTTCCGTCAATCGCGTATGTGGATTAATGTCGTCTTCATCGACTCCCGAAACATCATAATTATTACCAACACATTCATCATCATGATCTCTATTTAACCCTTCATCATGGTCGTTTCTATCAACTCCTTCATCATCGTCATTTCTATTAA